TTGATATCTGTCAGACAGAGGCTTGACACAACATTTTGGCATACACTTTCCTTGCCGGCGGCGACACAGCAGCGAAAGCACCACCAAAGAGTTGTCCATTTATTTATGCATTTACCAATAATTTAAAATATTTCTTACACAAAAATGTCAACATATGCGCATTGCAATGACAAGGCAGCCACCAGCAGGCGCTGGCCAACCATTTGGCCAGCTCATGGAGAGCCAATCCAGAGAGCCAGTCGGCCACAGTCCAGTCAGCCATGGCCCGCAGCAGCAGCAGCAGCAGCAGCGGCAGCAGCCCCAATCCGGCGCTGGCAATCAAAGCCAAAAAGCTTTCAAGCCAAAAGGCTGCCGCCGCCACAAGTCACAGACATGGAAAAGCCGCTCGCCGATTTCATGAGATTTTCAACAGTTTTTTCTCTCTCCTTTTTTTTTTGTATTTATTTCTTATTTTTATATATTTCGAACCTACCTTAATGGGGGGCTCCATTAGCTGCGTGGAATGGGTTGTTGCCGGCAATCAGGCATTAATGGGGGATTAGTCAGAGGATAAATATTTAAAGATGTTTGCGAAACAATTTTAAGTGTCTCCTTAAAGGCATCAGTGTCTGTGTGGGCTTTAAAGATTAAACATACCATAGTATTCAAATTGAAACGGTTTGTCGGCTTGTCGGCTTCTGAGCGCGGTGTTGTGGCTGTAATTAAGGTTTAGAGAGGAATAATAGAATAATATGGTAGAATGTGGACTAGGTTAGTACTACGCCGTAATACTTCTTTATGGGTTCATTGCGGATTCAGAACCTGCCCATTTAATCTGTGAAATCTGTTTTAAACCTGTTCTGGAATTCTTCTAACTAGTTCACATGAGGTTCAGCCAACAGACTTGGTATCTATGCTCGAAATCTGAATAGCTTTGATGCTGGAAGATGTTTTCCCTACTAAGGGTTAAAGGTGATATAGAAATGGCACAGAAATTACTATTTTCTATATTGATTGGTTTCGTTTAAGTCGGGTTTCCTAGACTTCCACATTCCTCTTCTTTTAATTAATGATCTTTTGCTTAGATCTTAAGTTTAAGAAGCACTTGCTTATCGGCCAAGCAGTGGCTTACTCTGGTAAACAGGTCATCCATTGGATAATCAGTAGATTAATCCCAGTATCTGAGGAATTTCTGTCTTAATTTCAGCCACTAACAATATTCCCCTTTACCCCTCCTAGAGTATTCCCCACTTCGTTATTAACCCTTGACTAATCGACTTTCCTTTCTTGTCCGCAATTTTTATTGTGTGTCTCTTTTTCCATCTCAGCTTTGTGTGTCTGTATGTATGATTCCATAGCTCTTGGAAGTTGCAACAGCAACAGCAACAGTGCAATCAGCAAATACTAAAATGCAATGCGACGTATTTTTTATTATTTATTTTTTTACCCATTTTTTTTCTTTTAGCTTTTTGTGTTATTTTGTTTCGAGGCGAGTTGGGGCCAAGAGAGTCTCCGTCTCCGTTGGAGTCGAGAGTCGAGAGTCTCTCACGCCACAAGCGACAGTTTTGTATTAGAAACGGCAAACTTGTGGCAACTTGTGGCTGCAGCTAGTTACGGGCTTGATGATTGCCCCAGCTCCAAAGGGGAGGCCGGCAGAGGGGAGGGACTGTTGCTGTTTCTGTTGCTGTTGGAGTCGAGAGCTGAGGCAGGCAGCTGGAATGTTGTTTCGCTGCTAGTTGGCCATGTTGCCGAGTGACTGACATAGTTGCTGCTTTAGTTGTGGTTGTAATTGTTGCTGTTGCTGCCGCTGCTGCCGCGGCTGCCGCGGCTGCTGTGGCAGGGCATCGCAGGCTGAACTTTAAAATTTAATTTGTTAAACAATTTATGTGCGGCATATTAGCTCCAGGTCCAGGTCCAGGCCAGGCCAAGAGCACAGTTGTGGAAGGTGGATGGATGCGGTGGAGTCTATGCGGGCGTCGTTTCAGAGAGGAGCTCCCATGCGGGCGCGAGGCAAAGATAACCTGTTGAGTGTTCGTTTCGTTCCTCTCTTCCGATCAGGCTCTCTTCGGAAATCTCCGCTCTTCTGTGTATGCCTGTGTGTGTGTGAGTGAAAAGTTGCCAAAGAGATTCAGACAAAACGGTGCTTTACATTCGTTTTTGTTGTTGCTGTTCTTTTGGTTTCTTCTTTGTTTTGTGTACCCTTTCCTTGCACCAGGAGAGAGCATGATGGGCTCGGGGGAGACGTTTGTAATGCAGAAGAAGGAGATACTGGTAGAGCTTTGTCCTTGCTGAGAGTCATTCACCATCTTCTGCATGTCCTAAAAAACTATCCATCTGCAGGGTATCTAATCATTCGATATGCCACTCGATTTGCGGCTGTCCATTTCTCTGCCACTTATCATTCGATCATCTGCATTTCTCTCTCTCTCCCTCTCTCTCTCGTTCGCTCTGGCCATCTCGCACTGTCTCTGTCGTTCCGTCGCATGGTCTTTAATGAAATGTAATTTGAAAAATTGCGCGCGGCAAATTGCTGGCTTCTTGTTAGAGAAGAGATCTCGTTGTCGCTCATAGAATTTCAAATATTTTGTCTTAATTAAAATTGTCCGCTCTCTCTCTCTCTCTTTGTCTCCTTCCCCGACTGTCTGTCCCGTCTGTCTGTCTCTTTCTGAAAAGTCGGGCAGAGCTTTTAGATAAATTAACTCTGACATTTTGTCCGTCAAGCATTTGTCGCTTTTTTGCATTTGGTCGACATTTTTATTGGACTTTGACTTGGCCTGGATTTATGTCTGCCTGGATTTGGGGATCTCGCGGATCTGGATTAGCTGTGCCATCATTCACGTCCACAATTGTTGGCCCCGTCAACGTCAACGGCCCCCCTCCAGCCCCCCCCTTTCGGGGAGCAGCCATGTAATTTGCCTCGTTTCTGGGTCTTACGTTTTTTGTGTGTGATTTATTCCGCTGTTGCTGGGTATTTAATTCTGGGTTAAGCATCGCTTAAGCCAGCAGTCCCAAGAACAAAAGACTCTGACCACGAACTGGTTCCATTCGGTTTCGACTGGAATTCGAATAATGCTCTCCGAACAAGAAGGAGAAGCTCTCAAGAATTTGCCTTTGATTGATGGCAGTCTCAATGTTTCAATCTCCTCCTCCGCCTTTTCGCCTCCTCCGCCTTTCCGCTTCTCTTTTCGCTCGCCTCGTTTCGCTCTCCTCTTGGGACGTATTTTCTTCACGGTTCATTATATAAGATTCGGTTTAATTAGTTTGACTAAAATTTTCGCATTCCCCTTTAATGGCTGTGGGGTGAAATCTCGCGGAGTTACAGATAATGACGACGAAAGAAATGGCACATAACCATTAAAGAAATTTCCCAAAAACAAAAAAAACCAACCGAACCGAACCGAAACCAATTTTGTTGGATAGCACAGTCATCAAGAAATCAATTTATATTTATATCTAGATATATTTAATCATTTCTTCTAGCTAGAAAATTGAGTGACCGAAAATGGGAAACGAGTTTTCATTCGTCTGAGAAAGTAATTGCAGATTAAACAATCTACAAATTGCAACAAAATTCCAGTCATTTACTAAAGAGAGAGAGATCCGACGCCTGGCATATGCTCTAATTAATTCTCTTACGACCATGAATCTTCCCGCCATTCCATGCCATACTTTCTACAAGATCAATCTTTCTCTATTTTGCGTATTCATATAAAGACATTCACACAATTCCATTTCAAAGCACCGCCCCATACATTCTTCGCTCTTTCTATTTGCGAAAACTCTTTTGGAATTCTCTGTGTGATCAGTGGTCTGTGATCTGTGTCAACGACAACTTTCAATTCTTTTCATTGAGATATTTGCATAGAGACAACAGAAACCCACGAGAAGCATCCACAGCCATCGACACGAGTTCGTTTAACTCAAACTCAAATGAACCGAAACGTTCGTTAACCGAACTCCAAATGAAAACAATTCGAATACATTTCCCTCAAACAAAATATTTATTTATTTAGCTGTTGTTTCAACAATTTTAATGAGTGCCAAAATATATGGGGGGATACCCCTTTTGGAAGGGTAATTAGGTTACCATACCTTGTTTGCTCTAGTTAATGGGGTACTAAATTTATACCAAAATATGCACCCATAAAATCTACCAATGAATATAAATAATCCTTATTAAAAGCAAAGACTTAAACATGGGTTTTATAGGGTATTTAAGTTGGGGGCTTTCACATGAATTATTAATTCCCCTATAAAAAACCTTGTTAATATTCGGTATCTCTGACATTTATCCACTTACAAGTCAGTGCTACATTAATCATGCTGTTGAAATGGTTGTATCTATGTCTGATCTTAATGATCTCTGCGCCACACATCAGCGGTTGTAAGTAGAGGTTTTCGAAAATAAGTCTTTTCCGTATGTTTGCTAAATTCAATTGAACTCAGGCAAAGCGAGGTGCTTGCAACCGATGAAGACTGGACCTGGAAGGGCCAATTTTATGCGATATTACTACAATAAAGCCACGGGAAAGTGCCAGAAATTCACCTATGGCGGTTATAGTGGAAATGGAAATAACTTTCGGACACTTAAGGCATGCCAAAGAAATTGCATGTGGAATTTAATGGTGTAATATTTATTTAGAGAGTGTTAGAAATAAGAGTTCATTGAATCAAACTGATTCTAGGTGATTGAAAGGAAATCAAGCAGATAAATTATAATATTATTACCATATCGAATAAAGAACATGAAGATCATTTATCGAATAAACTTATTGCAGTCCACTCTTTTGGATGGCAATATACTGTATGATGGATCCATTTATAACTCTTATAGCCCATTGTTTCGTTGATCACCAGATGATCTTGAACTACCAACTATTCCAATATTTACCGAAGTACCGCCTGACTAGCACTTGCGTTTGTTTAGCAATATTTTTTTGGAGCCATGAGAGCATACTCTTTTGTATGAATATATATTAATAGAAGAGCAATCCGATTCAGTCTCCATTGTGCCATTCAACATGCTGTTGAAGTTCTCGGGTTTCCTCATTCTCCTAGTGCTGTTCCTGCACCAAACCCAGCCCCAGACGAGTAAGTGGCTCCCAGACGGAGAGCAAACCCACAGAAACTTTTAATAAATATTGGTTTTTAGTTAAGAAGAGATGCCTGCTGCCGCTGGAACAGGGCAACGGCAAGGCCATCCTCCGCAATTGGTACTTCAATTCGACGACAAGCAAATGCTAGAAGTTCGTCTTCTTTGGTGGCGAGAAGAATGGCAACAATTTCCAGACCAAAGCTCGCTGCAATAAGATTTGCCTGGCAAGTCTACCCATGACCATCGGAAATGATCCAATGGAGGTTTAATTAGGTTATAAATTAGATGATCTCAGTTTGCCCAGTACTCTTATAGTCTCCGAGTAAATATTAATGGTATATATTATATATACTTTTCTTTACTTAATTTCATTTCTTATAAAATCTTTCTGGTGAAAATCCAGTTGATGCTGCTGCACCCAGTTTCTACTGTGGCTGGGCTGTGGCATGCGCAACAAATATTTTTCTGATGTTTTTTTTTTTTCGAAAAAACTTGTCAGCGCCACCCACTTTCTATGGAGCTTACTGTTGTGTGTGTGTGTGTGTGTGTGTGTGTATCTGTGAGTTTTGCCAGGAGGTGTTAGGCGGGTGCGCTGACAGCACGATGTAACCGCAACAACGGCAGGCAGAGGCAGGGGCAACGTTTTGCTAAATCAAAATTGACACTATGCAAAAAGCCAACCCACAGAGCGGCGGCGGCAGCAACAGCAGCAAACGGTAGCCGCACACACACACAGACAGGCGAATGATAGAGATACAAACACAAACATACATACATGGATACATGGATACAGTGTGTCGGGCCAGAGTGGGGCCAGGCGCTCAGCATGCCATGGCATGGAGGCCAAAAGGTGCTCCCCCCTGTCCGACTCCGACGCCGACGCCGACTCCTCTCGTGTGTATGGTCGATGTGGTGTTGTGTTGTTCCTGTGTGGCGCCACGCCACGCCAAGCACTCGCTGTAGCCTCTTGTTGGTGGCTCTTGGCGTTAGATTTCAGCCATGTGCAGACAACGGACGCCGCCACATACACAACCACACACACACACACACAAAACTTACAAAATAGCAGTTATTAGTTTTGTTGAATGCACGCACAGTGGGGCAGGAACAGAGGAATGTGAATGCCGCAGGAAAAATGCCTTCCTTTAGGCCAAGGAATTTCAAATGACAGACAAGCCAGTCTTTGATAGATCTATAGCATCCATTCAACCATTGAATGTACCCTTCTACCTATGGTATCCATAAATCCACTGCATGAAAGTCTTAGTTCTAGAACATGGCAAGTGTTAATGCTAACCACTGTTCCCCTTTCCAAAAACCAAACCTTAAACGTACCAAAACCAAATTATATACCCAAAAACCGCTGAAAGAAACAGTTAACGCCATTATGGTGCTGCACGTTTTGCCCCACTATGGCCCAGCGGTATCCAGACCAGACCCCACCTTGTACAGTATGTGTATGGGGCACTGTGGGCCTCCAGCATGGCGACATTTGCTCATTAAGCATATTAAATAATTAGTACTTGTTGTTGTCATATTTTAAATGCTCGTTTGCGCTTGTCGAGCTCACTTCAAGAGGCTTGACTCTCGGACATGTCTCGGACTGTCCATAGAAATCTATCTGCGGAGATTCAGATACGAATCCGCACGTAGACCAGTTTCCCATACGAAGCCAGATGAGTGTTGTTTGGCCTTTAGCTTTGGCTTTTAATTCTCGCATTTTTCACAATAAAAATTGTAATATATATGCGGATTTAATTTAAAAGGCAATTGGTTTTATATTCGTTAATACAAATCATAAAAAATATGTATATTCTTGCTAATTGAATGGCAATTGATTGAACAACTTGGAGGTTGTATGCGACTGAAGGCAGACTGGTATATTTATTATAGATGAAAAGCAAGAGAAGGAGATTATTGGACAAAAGATAGATATGTATCTATAAAATAAACTAATATAATATACTTTGAAACCCGTAAGAGCCCGTGTATATTTCCACTTTAATCAAAGACACCTCGATGGCATTATCTTAAGTACTTTCAAAATTAATTTCCCACCCAAACCGGACTACATTTTATCCCGAAACAGGATCTCTTTAAACTTATCAAAGTGCAGCTCAATATTCGATCTTAATTTGATGTTTTCGTGGGGTGTTGGGTAACACAAACACACCAATTGATCCAACACCTTAGCTCAGTGTTGAGCAACACCCCAAAACTGCACTCTCTTGTATTTTAGTGTCTCTTAACTAGGTTTTCCTCATTGAATTGCTTCTGTAATCTTATCAAAAACTCTATTAACAACTTTCTCCCTGTATATGCCGTCACCTTTGACACAATCTATCCCCAAAAAGTGTTGGACAACAAGAACACGGACACGATCTTCTAGCATGTTTACAACACTTAATGGCTCTGACTAATCGCATTTGCATGGCTCTCCTAAAAGAATAGAAACCAAACCCAAAACGAAATGAATTACATTTGCATGTAAATTTATGCAAATTCCATGCTGTGTTGCCCAATGAACCATTTGACACTTTTGTCCACACACCAGAGCCCAGAGACAGAGACAGAGCCAGGGCCAGGGCAGAGTGCTTTATTAATTATTTATTGTCTAACTATTTGTGAATTATGGCAAGAGATCGTGGGACAGAGAGAGAGAGAGAGCGAAATCAAAAAACTCTCAGCCTCTCAAGTGGATTGATCTCTCTCTGGGCTCAAAGCATTTTCCTTTTCTTTCTGTTTTTTTCTTTTTGGGGTCTTGGGGCGCTTCGAACCAGTTGAGCGACATTCCATATGAGGGGCGACGGCGACAGGCTTTGGTTTCGGTTTCGGAGATGGCTAAGATTAATCAGCTGCCATAAGCCAAATGACAAGACATATTTGCTGTCCCCGTCCTCCCGTCTCTGTCCCCTCCATCAGATCCAGATGTGCTCCGTCCCTGGTGTGGCTTTTGGGTTGGGGTGTTATTTTTGTGGCTTATTTGTGTTTATTTATGGCAAGGCTAGAAATGATACAACACAAAAATACGAAAAATTAATTTCAAATTTGATTACAATAAAAAAATAATGCCACACAGAGGATCGGAACGGATCGGTTCCACTTGTGAGCAGAGCAGAGCAGAGCGGAGCAGAGCAGCTTTTGATTTACTCATTTCGTCTCGTCTCGTCTTAAAGTGTGCCAGGCAGGCCCCCATCCCCATCCCCACGCCCCAGAGGTGCCCCATCTATAGGTGTGCCTCTTCCCAGTCGCAGCCCAACCCAAAAAACGCTGAAGAAGATTTAACAACCGCTTAGAGGCCCAACCAGCCGACAGAGAAAAAAATGTGAAATAAATTTATAGTTTTCTATTTAGATAGCTGGCCCGTAAATTATGCAAAGCCTCCCTCTCCAGCCAAACACAGATATTATGGATGGGAATCGGAATGAGAATGGCTGCTGCTGGTGCCTGGCTAGATTGCTAGCCCGAATTGGGTTACTTTCAACTTAATTTAAGGTCTTAAGGTTAGGCCAATAACAGCGGGCCAAATTGCGGGATGCGGATGGGGATGGGGATGGGGATAGGATGGGATGTGATGGCCACAAGCCACAAGAGCCACAGCAATAGAACGGCCCACGCCTGCTTCTGCTTCTTCAATGCTTTCGTACTCCTCCGAAAAACGATCCATCGATCGAAACTGGTTTCTCTGCCTAACAACAATATGAATGAAGCTTGAGCTGAAGCCGTAGCCATCCAACCATCCGGAGCTCAATGCTCAATGCTCAATGGAAATGACAGCATACGTGTGGCCAAATAACAAAAATAATACAAAGAATGATTTGATAGAAGCGTGGGCGATCCCCGCTTATTAATTGTATTCAAAAAAATATGTATATATGCATATATGGCTAGAGATTTGTTGGCCAATCTTAACTGCTTAACTTATTTCATCCACAAATTGCTGGGAGTTTTTGTATCCGCTAATGCTGAATGTTGTTGAAAGGTCAACTGCAGCAGCAGTCGAGACTGTGTTCGAAGGAGTGGTTCCCCAATAAAATACTTTATACATTTTTATGACTTCAAGCTATGTCTGTCTACCCCCTGTCCCCCTCTCCCCCCATCACCCCTCTGTCTGTATGTCTGTCTGTTTGTCTTTCTCTAATAATTGCGAATGGCATGGAGACCCACTTAGAGCTGCTGCCCACACACTACACACATCAATAAAAAACAAACGAAAAAAATCTGTCCATGGCCATCTTGGAATTTAATTGCATTTGATATGCGGGTCTCTCTGGAAGCGTTTGGCAACACTGGAATGCAGTTTCTGCAAAAGATCTCCCCTTATGGAAAATACTTAAATATTCGACTCTCAACTAAAAACAGACACACAATCGTTTACAAATCAAATAAAGCTGAACAAGACGATCATAAATCTGGCATTTCCATATCCATTTTAGTAGTGAATTCCATTCTAAGAATGCAGATTGTGCTTTGAAATGTTTTGTCCAGATTTTATTGCCATTTTTAGTGTATAGCTGCCCACACCAATAAATCACTTCCATGAATATTGCGGAATCGAGTTCTATTCCTCTAGAGTAGGGGTCGACAAGGCCCTATCTTATGTGCATTTCGCCTTCTGTCTACACACACAAATGCACTGCCGTGTGCCATTTTCTTCCATTGCCTATCCAACACTACTCAGTATTTTCCAACACCTGTTATCGCCTGTTACTTAAAGATATCCCCTCCATATTTCAAACTCTTTCCAGACTTCAGCGCCATTCTAGAAATCCATCAAATAGATCCAAACCATGTCGCACAAGACGAGCACACGACGTGCCACCGATCTGGAGTGTCCACTGGCCTCCCTGGGCAGGAATAGCAATGCGGTGCGCGATCAACTGGCGGCAGCGCACTATCACCATCCGCATCCACTCAGCTCCAGTCCGCTGGATCCGCAGGCCTACAAAATGTCCCGCAAGTCACCGAACCTGAGTCTGGACACCAACGATGCCCTGGCGTCGCGCAGCTCCACGCCGCACAGTGAACAGCAGGCCACAGCTACGACGGCGGCAGCGGCAGCCGTGCTCCACATGGTGCAACAGAAGGCGGCCACCTTTGAGCTGAGGGGCAGGCACACGCGTCAGGAGCAAAGCATCTACGGGGCCCACTCGACAGCCTCTGTGGGGAGGCAGGTCAAGAAATCGCCTGATATCCCGGCTCCTGCCTCGAGGGGCACAGCTCCCGTGCCACAACCGCGCAACTTTCTCACCCTGGAGCATGTGCTGCAGTATGGGGCCCAAAGGCCTAGCTGGTTGCATGGCAACAGTGCGGATACTGAGGACTCCAGCGACAATAATGTGGGAGGCGGCGGTGGGAGTGGCAGTGGCGGAGGCGGCGGCGGCGGCGGCGGCGGTAGACGACGCACGCAGGGCGGACGATGCAGCGTGCCCACTGTCCTGAGCAGCAACGGTGGCGGCAGCAACGGAGCCCAGTATCTGCTCGATAAGAAGATGGAGTCGCTGTATCTGGGGAATGCTCTGCGAGCCCTGCCCCTCGGTGCCGAGGCGAGTCAGTACCAAAACGAACGCTACTACCTGGAGGACTACAGCAGCGGTAGCGGCAATGAGCGGCTGCCAGGTGAGTGTCCCTCGAACTGATATCTTAAAGAACGCAATCGCAATCGATGGTAATCCCTTGCAGAACGCCTACATCATCCGCGCACCTCCAGTCCCAGCGAGACGAGTGGTTCGGATCGCTATCTGCTGAACCGGAGCACCAACTCGCCCGCCAATGCCTTCCAGCTGGACCACCACCACACCAAAGTGCAGAGCCTCTCCGACGGCCTGTGCAACCTGGGACGCTTCTCGCCCAGCCTCGACCAGGGCTATGCCACGCTCGTCTCCCCCTCACCCACCGGCCACCACTCGAGCGGAGCGGGCAATGTCACCACATCCACGACCACCAGCGGCGGAGGCATCATGGCCAGCAGTACGCCCGCCACAACACCCCGTCGTGGGGCATCCAGTGGCGGAGGAGGAGGGGGCGGTGGTGGCACTGTGCCGGGAAAATCCATCGGTCCGCCACCCTGGAACCGCAAGGGTCCCTTCCGCTGTGGACCCTACTTTGATCGCCTGCCCGACGAGGCCATTGTCCGCATCTTTAGCTGGCTGGACAGCTGCGAGCTGTGCACTGTGGCCCGTGTCTGCCGGAGATTCGAGCAGGTGGCCTGGCGTCCCGTGCTCTGGAAGTGCATCACTCTGCGGGGCGAGCACCTGAACGGGGACAAGACCCTGAAGATGATCTTCCGTCAGCTGTGCGGCCAGAGCTGCAATGGCGCCTGTCCGGAGGTGGAGCGAGTGATGCTCGCCGATGGCTGCCGCATCTCCGACAAGGGCCTCCAGCTGCTGACACGACGCTGCCCGGAGCTGACGCACCTGCAGCTGCAAACCTGCGTCGGCGTCTCCAATCAGGCTCTGGTCGAGGCCCTAACGAAGTGCAGCAATCTGCAGCATCTGGACGTGACTGGTGAGTGGGGCACATCCACATCCTCTACTTAGCCAAAACTAACCTCTCTCCATTTATTTAAAGGCTGCAGTCAGGTGAGCAGCATCAGTCCCAATCCGCATGTGGAGCCCCCGCGTCGTCTGCTGTTGCAATATCTGGATCTGACCGACTGCATGGCCATCGATGACATGGGCCTGAAGATTGTCGTCAAGAACTGCCCCCAGCTGGTGTACCTTTATCTGCGACGCTGCATACAAATCACCGGTAGGCATAGCCCAGGACAACCATGCCTCCAGAGCCCCTCTAAACTCTTCCTTGATCTCTTGCAGATGCGGGTCTGAAGTTTGTGCCCAGCTTTTGTGTCTCGCTGAAGGAGCTGAGCGTTTCCGATTGCCTCAACATCACCGACTTTGGGCTCTACGAGCTGGCCAAGCTGGGGGCCGCCCTCCGCTATCTGTCCGTGGCCAAATGCGAACGCGTCTCGGATGCCGGCCTGAAGGTGATTGCCCGGCGCTGCTATAAGTTGCGCTACCTGAATGCCCGCGGCTGCGAGGCCGTCAGCGATGACTCCATCACCGTCCTGGCCAGGTCCTGTCCGCGCCTGCGTGCCCTGGACATTGGCAAGTGCGATGTGAGCGATGCCGGACTGCGGGCCCTGGCCGAGAGCTGTCCCAACCTGAAGAAGCTGAGCCTGCGCAATTGTGATATGATTACGGATCGGGGCGTCCAGTGCATAGCCTACTACTGCCGCGGGCTGCAGCAGCTGAACATCCAGGACTGTCAGATATCCATCGAGGGCTATCGGGCGGTGAAGAAGTACTGCAAACGATGCATCATAGAGCACACCAATCCGGGCTTCTGTTGAGCAGCAGGACGGATCGGAGAATACAAAGCAAAGAGGCAGGCCATAATGAGCAAAGATTGTTAAGAACAACAACTGCAACCACACACAAATATTGTAATTTGTTTTAGTTCAAGGATCAAGGGGTTAATCCGAACGCCGAAATGATCAATGATTTTAGTTGTTATTGTAAATTGTATATACCGAAACGGAAGCTGAACAGGATTTTAGAGCATACATCATAGCAGAGGATTACGTTTAAGTAGACTAATTCTTGCTTAATAAATTATTTTTCCCCCGATTATCAAGATAGTGATACATATCGGGCATTAATTCGGGTATTTTGAGTAGAATACTTCGAGGAGTCACCTCGAGAACATCCCGCGTTAAGTGCCTGCCCTTCTTGCCCTTGCCCTTGCCCTTGCCCTTCTTCTTTCGCAGATGATCCAAGGCAATGGTGGCCTTTACATCCGCTTGAGTGTCGGCGGCCGTTGTTGGCTCCAACCAGTTGCCACGATTCACATAGGGTTTAATCTCGATCCGGGTGCAATTGTCCTTCTGTAGATATTTCCTTATGGTCTCAAGGCTGCGTATATCCTCTATGGCTTCCATTGTCTTGTTATGGATTCTCTTAATCTCTCGCTTATCGGCATTCATCTTGGCCATTTGCTTCTCCAATGCTGGCTGACCACATGGCCAACACGCTGATAGCTCCGATATCTCCATTATTCTCACACGCTCCTCCAGCGAGTGGACGGGCATCTTCTTCTGTAGTGCCGTTAGTTGCTGCCTCTTTTTTGGTGTCAGCGAATGCTTTGTGCGCTCAAGGCGATCCAATTCTTCTCGTATATGGTCTATATTTTCCATATAGTCCTGGAGATGCTCGGCCTCTCGCTGGATGTCCTTCTGGAACCGTGTGCGAACGACCCGGTATCGACGCAACTGATTGCTTATGATCTGCACTTTCCGCTGTTCATAGTAGAACTCTCGTACCAGTCGGAAGTACAATTTCATCCAACTGTCACCGCTCTTCTTGCCCATAGGAGTTGAATTTTTGAATTTAGAAAACCAATTTTGAATTTAGATAAGTTTAACGGCAAACATATCGACAGTTGTGATTTCAAAAGAGTTGGCAGGTCTGTGATACCAGAGAAAACCGGTATATAATGGTATATTTTGTCAATTTCAATTTTGGGATTTTCTCTGGGATTTTTCCTCGCCACAATGTCCTTTTTCCCCTCAACAATGTCCCTTACATTCCATCCTCACTTACGTTTTCTTACGTGTTATGCTGCTGGCAACATTCAATTTGTATGGACCAGACTCTTGTGCCGTGAAATCGAGCATCATTGTTCCTCAACATGGCGAGGATTCAGCAACATTTTGAATACCCTGGGAAATGGATATTATAGAACTGAGAGAAAGTTTGTCATCTAAGGCACCAATAAAGGCCAAAACTAGTCAGTTTCTGTTTTAAAGGTATTTCAACGATATTTTGAAGGTTTTGGTCTTACAGAAACCAAGAATGGGTATCGATATCGAGATATATTTACAAGACCCTAATAATATGCATTAATATGTCCACAACATAACAATCTGAGATCATTTCTATATTAATTGCGATTTTAAACAGCTTGGAAAAACAGTTTCTTCATATATATTGACGAAATAGGGTATAGCTGAACTCAAACTCCGGTTGACGTGACATTTCGTACTCACTTACGTTACACTCCATACTCACTTAAGTTGCCACTGTTTTTTTGTTGACCTTTTTTGCCTAAACCTTGTTTTATACACTACACAGTAAAAGAGAGTACTTAAAACTAGTCAATCAGGTAGAAAATTGATTCATTAATCCGATAAAATGATGTGGGCAGAGCTAATGGTTTTAGTTAGGCAGCATTATTCAACGGAATAAAGAAATTGAACAATTGGAACGATTTTTCTCTTACGTTTTATTACGTTTCATTTGTTTGACCTTTTTCGCTAAAACCTTTTTTTAAGCAAAATCCAAAAAAAGCATGTATTAAAAATAAGCCAGTTAAGTAGAAAATTGATTCATCAATCGTATAAAATTATGTGGGCATGGCTAAATGTTCTATATAGCTGGGAATATTCGACGGAATAAAGAATTGAGCAATTGGAACGATACTCGTTTGTTTATGCTACTGTTGTATGAACAAAAGTGCCTTGTGCGTATGCTTATAGTGGCTTCTGTAAGTCATGATGTCACAGGGCACTCCCCAAAAACAGCCGCTGTTCCACGGCTATTCCGTGCTTTCTACCTTCTTCGCATTTACAGTTAAACTCGAGCCACAGAGTCTGCAGCGCCTAAACGACCAGCGACGCCCTTTGTGTGGCCCACTACTCCGCCCTGCCTCAGCTCCTCAGAAGACGAATTTCATTGAAAAACAATTGAAAAAGGAAGAAGAAGAAGAAGAGCAGACCCTGGACTAGGTGGGGTAGGGAATGGGGCCTGCTTCACCTCTGCCTGTTCCGGCCCCGCGACCCCCTGCGTGTTGACTGCCTGCAGGATCACATTGGCCGCATCTCGACCGAGTACACGGTCAACAACGGGGGCTGCTCCCACCTGTGCATGGCCCAGCCCGGCATACGGGGCATGACCTGTGCTTGCCCCACCCACTACCAGCTGGCCAAGGACGAGGTCTCCTGCATGTACAACATCATCTTGAGCCAGAGGAACAGCTTCGGCCGACTGCTGCCGAACACGACAGACAGCCCGAATGTGCCGCTGCCAGTGTCCGGCAAGAATATCCGATCTCGCATTACATTTACTGCGTAAGGAGGATAAATATCCCTAATCCTTCTTTTCCAGATCGAAGGCAGGAGTCACAGCATCAAGCGTTCTCTGGCAAATGGCACAAAGGCGAGCCTCTTGGCTCTCCGGACAGCCCTTCGACATTGCAATCGACATCATTGAGCGGCTGCTCTTCTGGACCAGCTCCTACTCTAACAGCATTCACGTGACCATCCGCACAATTGTGTTCCTAAAACGTTGCCTCTTTTAGTTTCCTGGGTGAATCTGTAGACGTCAACGATACCAGGGACTCGGAAAAGCCTCGCAAGACAAGACCGGAGTGGAACGGATCACTGTCAACGGAGAGCGTTGTTCCGTGGAGCAGCATCGTCTGTCGCAGTTCACCGACATCCGGGCCGTGTGGACACCGGATGCAAAAGTGCTGCACAATCACACGGCACAGTTGCCCAAATTGTTTCCAAAACTACAAAGCCAGAGGGGTTCGACACGCAGCACGCGCGACGTCTGCTTGTGCCCTAAGCATCTGATTCTACTGGAGAACCAGGAGAACTACGGCGTGTTTCCGGCCTGTGGGCCAGATCATTTCACGTGCACGTCCCCAGTGACGGGGAATGGTGACATGAATAAGGACTGCGTACCCGCCTCCTGGCACTGTGATGGCCAAAATGACTGCCCGGACAAGACGGATGAAGTGGGATGTCCCACATGCCGGGTGGATCAGTTCAGCTGCCAGTCCGGCGAGTGCTTCGACAAGGCTCTGATCTGCGATGGTATCACCTGTGACAACTGTGCGAATGTCCACGATGAGGCCGACTACTGCAAGCGGCCAGGAGACTTTCAGTGTCCCATCAACAAGGTGATTGGGAAGACACGATATCTGCCTAAATTCTTAAACTAACAATATCCTACTCCTTTCTACAGCTTTGCATATCGGCCGCCCTGCTCTCCGATGGCTGACAGGACTGTGCGGCGCATTGCCCTGCCTCTGATATTCTTGCGCTCCGGCAAGAGCCGCACCGAGCCAATATATCGAGCTCTAATAGCTCCATCAAAGAAATTAAATAAGGCAGTAAGCAGTAAGCATAGCCAAGCACTCCCTTTTAAAGACTTTAAAAATGCAATAGAGAACCTGCCAGATATTGCCATTGAGGTGTAACGCGACCAAGCTGCGGATGAAGATGGAGCGAAAAGACACTGGACGAGTGTGTAGTGTAGACAAATGTGTAGTTGGCGTGTATTAACATATAAAGAAATAAATTAAGTGGAAATTGTTTTGGCTTAAATCTTATTTTAGACACAATCAAAATCAATAGTACATCATCCCCTCGATTGGAGCCTCGGCAGCTGCCGAGGTAGATGTCACTCAACCATCATTGGCATACGAGGACTCGGGCGTCAGTTGGGATGAGCTGAACTCGGTCAGCCGTGTCCGATTCCTCGCGCCGCAATATCAGCAATAGCAGCGAAATCAATACAGACTAAATCCACGAAGCGGATCCCAATACCATGCGTCGCCACCTTCCTGTCGGGCTGCCCCTTCAGCAGCAGGACGCTCTATGTCCTGCTCTGCGGGCACCAGTCCTTCCCCTTCGGCAGGCTCCGGTTTTTCTGCCGGATCCACTCCAACATTTGTTGCGCTTCGTATTTTGATACCCCCACCCAGTGGGCGCAGTGGGAAGTCCAGACGACGTCGACCGGTGGCTCAGGGGTCGGTGGCTGGAAATATCTGTATGCCTTCAGGCCGACTTTTTCCACATCCGCAATATACTCAGAAATCATCTTACAGGAATGCACTTTATTCGCTATTCGGAAAAAGAAAACTCCTATGATTCGAATTAAACTGTTTTCAATTGAAATCGCACCTCTGGAAAGAACACCAAGAGCTCCCTGAGGCTCTGATCCGTTCGACACGAAGACACTGCATCCCGTAATTGAACGAAGACAAAATTTCGTTAACTGGAACAAAAAATTTTTTAGGAAAAAATATACTTGAGAACTTAAATTTAGTCAGTCCTTTAGGAAAATGATGAAATAATCGAATGAAATTATGAATTCAGAGCTGAGTGTATTGTCTCAGCTAGCTAGAAAAATAGAAATAGTATATCAAACTTTTATCAAACCTTTTAATCAAGATATCAATCTGAGAACATGTATTTATTAATAATGTTTTAAAAACAGTTTGAACAATATCTTCATATTAAATTAACGAAATAGGATATATGTATGTACAAAGGCCTATTACACACAATATTGCGACTGTTCTTTTTTTTGTTGAACTATTTTGTTTAAACCTCGTTTTAGTCAAAATACAATAAAAGCAAGGACTAAAAACTAACCAATTTTGTAGAAAATGTATTCATCTATGGCCTAAAATTATGTGGGCAGAACTAAGGGTTTTAGTTAGCCAGAATTATTCAACAGAATCTCTAAATTGAGCAATAGAACGACTATCCTCTCTCGCTTGTTTTGTTTGGCCTATTTCGCTAAAACCATTTTTTAGACAAGATCCAATAAAAGCAAATATTTAAAATAAACCAGTCAAGTAGAAAATTAAATCACTAATCGGAGAAAATTATGTGGGCAGGGCTGAGAGATCTATCTTGTTAGTAATATTTCACAGAATATCAAAAACGAGGAATATGTAAATTAGAACTGGAATTCGTCAGTATATTCACGGTATATTTTCAAATGAGACGGTATATTTCGGTATATTTAATCGAAGGGTCCGACTGACAGCAAACAGCTGGTGTGCCGATTTTAGGTTATGAGCATTGTATAATTTTTGGAAACTCGTTGATTGAAAACAAAAACGTACGCTAGTAAACACCAAAATTCAGGTGGTACAGTGTAGGAAGAACAGCAATGGCTAAGTACATTGCACAAATCATCGTTCTGGGTGCTCAGGCAGTTGGACGCGCCTTCACCAAAGCGCTAAGGCAAGAGATAGCCGCATCCCAGGAGGCCGCCCGTCGGGCAGGTGGCGGCAAACAGGGCGACAAGACCGCAGAGTCCAACCTACGCACAGGTAAGCTGGTGAAATCAATTATAGGAGAACCTTGACTCATTCTCCATTCACTTCTAGGTATGACCGTTGAGGAGGCCAAGCAAATCCTGAACGTGGACGACCTCAAGAACGTGGACAGCATTATCAAGAATTACGAGCATCTGTTCAGTGTGAATGATCGCGGGAAAGGCGGTTCCTTCTATCTACAGTCAAAGGTCTTCCGGGCCAAAGAGCGCCTAGACACCGAACTGAAAGCCCAGCGGCCGCCGCCACCGAAAGCGGAGTCAGAGGCGGAAGCGCCTCCAAGGAGGGGCCGGCAAGTACGCTGAATCCTGTTGTACCTCCAAACAAAAATAATTAGCTACTAATTGATTTATAAACTTATGTGTTAAGTACGAAGACGACTTGTGTGTTGCTGTAAATAGATTTGTATGAACAAAATGATGTAAAAGTGGAGCTTCAATTGCAATTGTTCTTGATTCGCTTGAACATTAAAGCGGGCTGGAAAAACAAACATTGTACACTGTAGATATCGTCTGCAATATCTTAAATAATGTCCACGGTGCTCCAGTCGCTACAGCGACCCCTGCCACAGGATACGCAATGTCGTTGTACAGATGAACTAGCTTCATTTAGCTTATTCCCCCGCTGGTCGGGCTGACCTGTTGAACAGTTCCGTCTGTAAAATGCACGTTAGGGCCAGTGGTTCCACGCGGTGTACTTCAAGATGCACAGGATGTCCGCCGGTAACGGTAGTTGCTACAAATTTGCTGTTATTTCCTATATGTCTCCAATAGTCCTAACAAAGGGCTTTTTTGAAGCGTGTCTTACTCAAATTTCAAATTCCAGCCGTCCTTTCAAATCCGACAGCTAAGAAAAAAGAGGGTATGGACAACATGCAACACGGCCCAAAAATCGCAACGCACAAGGTATAATCCACCCCTTTTACCGAATATACCTTGAAAACAGAGCCAGCTGTTTGCCCAACTGGAGATGTGCAAGCAATTTTCTGACAAGTATCGATATTTCCAATTACCACTAATAGAAGTCAGCTGTTTGATGGGCAGCACTCAAATATTGTATAGATTTTCTGCGCAGTTGTTGTTAAATTCAGACGTGTCAATTGTTTATTTTATCACATTCATTAACAACGCAAACAGCTGGCACATGCGCAGACACTAGCCAGAAATTCCAGCGCACAAAGGAAAACCCTCCACCACGAATACGCACTGCAAACAAAAGTGGGTGTCTGCCAGGAAGAGATTCGTGGATCCATTGGGGCTTTCCAGACGCCACCGACGACGACGACGACGACGACGAGAGAGAGACTCGACTCAGAGAGACGCCACCGAGAAGTACGTACACGGTATTTGAACAACTGAAATTCCTCTGCTCTGCCAGTTTTCAGAGGACCTTCGAAGTAGGCAGCCGTAAAAACCAACAGATTCCACTTGTCTTTGGAGCCATTCCCCCAATCCAAACCGAGAAAAAAGAAAAACCTCAAGTGGTAAATTACCATAGTCAGGGCGTTAATATTACTATATAGCCAGACGATACATCCAAGTGAATTGCGAACGGTGGCGAGGTATCGATCGAATCGTGAAATTGTGCAAAATAGCAACGCATTATTCGCTCGTTTCAGACAATTTATATGCCTGTTTTATTGATTTTCCCTGCCTGCCCTCAGCGTCAGGTCTCTTGTGCAACGCCATATTGCGATAAAAAATCTGAATTGCCTTTCTTTTAATCATCTTGCAGCGTGCGAAAATAGAAATTAAATGCGAAAATTTACATAACTCCCGAGCGAGAGTTGAAAGTGAAACTTCTGTGGTGCGACACACTGAAAGAAACGGAAACAAGAACAGAACTTATTACAAAATTTCTGCCAAGTGTAGTAAAAGTTGAGCGAAAGGAACGAGAGAGACAGAGGGAGAGAGAAGCAGCAGCAGCAGGAGCCTTTTCAGAGAGCGAGAGTGAGAGAGACCCGAACGTGCGCACGTTTTTTTGGTTTTGGAGCCTCGTGGGGCATTCGTTTTGTGTACATCTCCGTACAGGACAGGACATACCACACGACACTCCACTCGGACGCAGCACGCGCAAGCAGCACGTAGCACGCAGCAGGCAGCAGGCAGAGCCCCAAGCAGGCTAATCCTTTAAAGCATCATCAACAGCCACACAAAACGCAGCACCAAACATGTTTTCGGGTCTTACAAATCAATTTACTTCGCTGGTTGGCGCCGTCAAGGGTGGCGCTGGCGATGAGGAGGTCCCAGTACCCACAGGAGATGCGGCACCCGCTGCCGTCGCACCCACCACCTCCGCCGAGGCGGTGGCCAGTGCTTCAGTAGATCAGGAAGCAGCTGCCGCTGGCGGCGAGGGACTCGAAGGCGAGGAGGCTGGCAAAAGGTGAGTCCATTCAACCCTTCTTACTCTTCAACCCGTCACACTCTGTACACACTCATTCATGGTTTGCTCATCTTCCTAGTGCCCTTAAGCATGTCCTGCTCCTTTAGCCTTTTCCCTGCACCTGTCATGTCTCTGCTTCTGCTTGTGTCTCTGTGCCGTGCGGTGCCTCTGTGCCAGTGTTCCGCCCGTCTTGACATGGCGTGCCAATATGACCTTGCTATTTGTACCTTTTAGCATTTGGCCAACTGCAGGCGGCACCTGCCTACTGCCCCGCCTCATCTGCCATTTGTCATAGTTGGGAAGTTGTCTGGAGCTCTACTCTGTTCTGCTCTTCTCTTCTCCCCTGCAGCAGCAGTCATGCTTCCTATCCATTGCATGGCATTCCACACGCTCTCACGTGACTGAACATAATTGCTTAAACTGCAAACCAAATGCCCGATAAACTCCGTATACGGGTCGCATTATATATAGAGAAACTTTTGATTTATTTCGTTTGTTGTTGCCTGCCTGCCACAAACCAAACTTTGATTGCAACAAATGTCTGCTTCTGCTCGGTTGTGCTGTGCTGCAAATGCAAAGAAAATTGCCCAAATTGGCTTGTGGTTGGATTGTTTCACTGAATTGGGTTTAGAAATGAAGATTTCCTGAGGTTTTCTTTGATTATTCAATTCAAAGAATTGGCCATTTTTAATGGGCTTCACTCTATTCAGGTCATAGCATATAGATTTTATGGTTTTAACCTATAGATTTCGTTAATACAAGATTAGTCATGACACAGATACGTTTTATCTGTAGAAATACTGAGAAATATACAATGAAAGGGCAACGAAGGAAGTCGTTTTCCCATTTCTACGGCATTTAGTACTTGAGCAAAGGTTTCCCTATTCAGAAAACGTTTAGGGGAATTGTTGCTTCTAAAGCAAATGATGATTTCTGGGAAGATAACTAAGTTCCTATATAATGTTATATTTTATACGTTTTTTGTCTGATTTTCAATTAAGAAATTCCCTTAACCAAATTCTATTTCCAAAATACAAATGTAGCAAACCTTCGCTACTTCTTCCACCAAAAAATGAATGATTGTTTAGCCTCTATTTACGCTTCCTTCTCCGCCATACTCTTTTGACCTTTTCCCCTCTGTTTGTTGCCGACACTTCATCAATCTCTGGCAAACAATCCGCACCCAAAATTATGTCTCCTCCATTCATTTCTGGGTAAACAAAGTTCACCTTAGATTGCCGCGATTGTGCCTCCTCCTCGTAGTTCGTTTTCCGACACACAAATGAAAATAAAAACCAATTATTTCTGGTTGTCTTTTTTTGTTTTGTTGCTGTTGGACAAGTTAAGCCTCGTGTGATGTCCGCGTTAATGCCACAAGTTGCTGTCTAATCCTTTACACAAGCTGGAGCCAGAGGAGGCAGGCACACCCACACCCACGCCCACACCCACACCCACACCATTTCCATTGCTAGCTATTTTTCACTTAATTTCGCGCATTAATATTTAATTGTGTGTGGAGCCAGAGCTGGAGCAGAGCTGGAGGATGTCAAACCCAAAACGATGAGGGGGGAGCACGTTCTGAAAGCCAACAGCTGCCAACAGCTGGTGCCAGACGACATTCTGGTTAGTGGCCGCCTCTTCTCCGCTTCCTTTGACTTTGATGTGGATGTGTCACACGGCCTATTCCATGTCCTGGAGCGGAGCCCCGAAGGACCCCCTGCTTTCGCTATCAATTGACATTGACAAGTTGGACAAGCTTCCTTTTTCGTTTTGGGAGGGGGTTTTCATGTACGTTTTGCTCCGCTTTTCCATGCTTTTGCCTGCTTTTGTTTTGCTGGGGAAAATAATTTGCACGTGGCTTATGCATAACCACAAAATGTTGAGTCATTCAAGCAGAGGGCTCTCCCGCTGAGGACGGCCCGCCTCTCTCTCCCTCTCTCTCTCTTTGTCTCTCTGCATTGTACAAAGTTCAGTTTTTTGACCAGCTTTTTGTGTGTGCGAAAAACTGTCACCAATGTCAGCCAGACCCAAAGCCAGAGCCAGAGCCACAGCCAGATGGCAGATGGTGGCGGACGCGAGGGCGAGGGCGAGGGTGTGGGCGGTGGGGTGTCAATGGGTCGGACAGGCAGCCAGGCAGCCAGGCAGGATGTGTTCCTTTTTGGTGGTTGCTTTCCAGTTTCCAGTTGACTTTTGCTCGTTTTGCGGATCGATACAACGAGAGCGAACTGTTACGCTCTCGCTACGCTCGCTCTCGCTATCTCTCGCTCTCTCTGAAAATTGTGCACATGTGATGTAGCCACCGAAAACGAGTAAAAACGACGCCATCTGCCTTGGCCTCCTGCTCCGCTCCACTGGCTCTCCCTGGCCGTGGCGGTCCGCCTTTTGTCAGCCTATTTAATAATTGTGCATTCAGAAAACGTGTGGTGTGTGCCGATGATGGGCCCCTTCTATGGCACAGCAATCACCGCCAAATCTCTACAATTTTCAATGAATTAATTTATTTCATTTTCCCTGTCATGCATAAAGTGTCGTTCATTAGAGCAACTCTCGCAAATTGGGCCAAAATCGATTGGTATTCAATTAAAAATGTCGTGCAAATAGAACCGGGGGAATATTTTCGCAATTAAAAAGTGTTCGAGCAGGGGGCTATACGCAGAATTTTCTCGGTTCAAATGGAAAACCAATTAAAGAAGTTTCCCCTGTGTGGAAATTCACGAAAATTGAAATGCAATCCGCGCCCCAATAAGTATGCTACGGAGGACAACGCAGAATTTCAAGGGAAATCGATGTGTAACGAGAGTTTCCTCTGGCAAAGGATTCCATGGAAATGTAATTATCGAATTGCATTCCCCCCTAAGTCTTAACCCTAGAAAGCCTTCACCTGTGCTTCTGTCCTGCTGTACTGCTGCTCTCCCCTGCATTCGTTTCTGTTTCTGTTTCGGTTTCTGTTTTCTTTTTTTCCTGTTTCGTTTGTGCTATGCGCCAGGGCCAAAGTTGTTGGCGCTTTCAAGGACATTTACACTATTTGCACTGGCTCTCCTCTCTGTTGCTGAATGTGTGTGTGTCTGTGTGTCTGTGTGCCCTTGCCTTTGTCTAAAATTATGCCAAAAATAGAAGGCAAGAGCAGGCTATGGCTAGGGCTAGGACTAGGGCCTAGGCTATACGAGTAGGCCATAAAAGAAACCCAAAAGCAAGGCACATTTCATCTGGTTTTCAGCTCTCAAATTGCTTGGCAAATAAGAAGCAGGACACAGCGCGAGGCAATGCATTTTTAACGCCACTTGACACAATTTACCCATGTCGCATGTCCTTTAAAAAGGAGAGGCAAAGTAAGCGGCAACTTTTGATTGCCTCGCACAAGGAATAACGCAAAACAAGAAAAGTTTTCCTGCCATTTCTTTGGGTCATCATTAAAACAAGGCTCAAAATATGGGCAAAATGGAAAACAAAACAAGGCTCCAAAAATGGGAAAAGGAAAACAAAAGTTAAGCAACAAATATTTGCATACTCGTCGGCATGTTGGGGGCCTGATTGAAATATGTTTTCTAAATGCAAATATCAGGAAAGGAAACAACTTAAATATTGGAATATGTTCTCCCATATGCAAATAGCACAAAATTCTGCCCCTCCTTTGTGGGGAAACTCTCTCGTACCCCGCCTCAAAAATGATATAAATATTATAATGGAATCGACCTTAGTCTTGTCTTTCTTTCTGTATTTTCCACCTGCCCAAAGAAGGAAAGTTCTTCCACCCACAAAGACAGCGATAGCGACAGAGAGACACTGCAAACATAATGAAATCAAAGCACTGGCCTCAATATAAATAAATAAATGAGAGCCAACGGCAAAACACCTCCCCCAAGAACTTTATCGACGCAACATTTGGCCTCCCCGACAAACAAAAAAAAATACAAAATACAAGATACATTTCCCAAGGATATACAAATATAAATAAGAGACGGAAGGAAAGTGAGGGAGAAGTGTCCAATTGAAACTCTGCCAAATCAAATGCAAAAATTCACAATAAACTAATTTCCATGAACCGAATATTTAAATACACTTTAGGGATCGAAAGAGAAAAGGAGAGCCCACAGTGTCACAGCTGCTGCCTTTTCGGCCATGCCCTCACCCGAAAAGTGATTCAAAACCACACAAATTTTTGGAGGCTACTTAAATTTAAAGGCGGTATTAAAATTTCATGCCCGGACAGACACATAACCGTGGCTATAGCCGCATAGCCACCAGGCACCAGCCACCAGCCACCGCGTGGGTGCTAACGACGCCTTGTTCGGTGGTTCGGTCGTTCGACCGTTCGCCATTTGACATTTTCCAGGCAAATTAACGGCCAGACTCAGACCCGAGCCGAAACCCGAAAGCAACAACTTGTGTGGTCAGCTTTCTCCCTCCCCCCCAAAAAAAAAAAAGAAAAAATAAATAAAACGAAAATACGGCAATTGCTGTTTTTGCAATTTCATTTCGTTTCCTCGGCTTTCGGCCTTAATTGCCAGCTGCGCCTTTCGGTGTCTGTGGGTGGTGGGACTGGGCCTCAAAAAACTATTTATTTGGTTTATTTTTTCAGCTGTCGCAATTTAATTCAATTTGACTGTCCCTTTTAGACTAGTTTTTGTGCTTAAATCATGTCTGTGGATTTGGTTGTGTCTCTGGACTATGGTTTTGGCTCCTCTCCCTCTCTGACTGGTTCTACCGCTGGGCTGTGGTTCTGTCTCTCGAGCTCCACCTCTGACTGGGACTGTGGTTCTGTCTCTTTGGCTCCACCTCTGACTGGACTGTGGTTCTGTCTCTTTGGCTCCACCTTCGACTGGGACTGTGGCTCTGTCTGCTGACTAGACTCTGGTCCTGGTTCTGCTTCGGCTTCTGTCTATGCTTATTGTTTGGGCCACAAAATTAATATTTATTGCCTTGGGGGCTGGCGTTCTTTTTTCCCCCATTTGTGCCATAAATATAAATACAAATTTTTATGCAAATTAAATGTTTTGTCA